ATCTAGAGTAAACCTGTTGTGGAGGCGTTTTGTTTCAGCCTCCATAACTGCTAACCCAACCCAACCCAACCCAACCCTACAGTAGCTAAGATGGTGCAGAAGTTTGGCTGTGGTGTCCCCCGCCTCTACCAGGAAGCCGCTGTATAAACTTAGCAGCTGTTAACTGAGACCAGACAACACGATACAAATTCCAAGAAACGCCCACCACTAACTTGTTTCCTCAACTTCTATTCTCCGGTTGTTACCCAGAGAAGGCCAAGAGGTTAAAGATGTACAAGTGTCGTTCAAGAAGCGTTCACAACTTAAGACAACACTATGTTACTACACGGGAATGTAACCGTTCATTCTTGGTAAACGCTCAATAACTCTTGTGTTCTTCACGTTAGGATTACTTTACCTGTTGCATCATCATTACTACACTCGTTTCAACACTTTCTATAGTTTTATTTTTTGTTATAATGAAGGATGATTATAAGCCTTCATTAATTTTCTGTCTGTCTGTCTGTCTGTCTGTCTGTCTCCTGAGCTTTTATTCTGAATTAGGAATCATCCGTAATTCCGCTCCACTCTTGTCCATGACTAGTTAGACTACCAGTAGTAATGTGGCCTCACTGCTTCCCTATGCGGTAACACGTGTCTCCCTCCTGCCTCACCCCAGCGCTTATCTTCACCACACACACACACACACACACACACACACACACACACACACGCGCGACTCAAGAACTTCAAGAACAGAATCTCAAGGTGACAGAGAGCCTAGGTGACAGTCAGTTTTAGACAGAACGAGCAGACTGGTACATCGACAGTCTGTTGTCGGCAGAGCGAGCAGACTGGTACAGAGACAGTCAGTTGTAGGCAGAACGACCAGACTGGTACAAAGAGACAGTCAGACGCGCGAGTAAATAAGTAGAAAAATAAAACACAGTGAAACAGACAGAGCAAATCCGGACACAAGAGACAGAGATAAATTGACAATACAGAAGAAGGACAGGATAATCTCACGCTGTCCCCAGGACGATACTCAGCTGATATCACCATGAATCACCCGAGAGCATTATTTCTTCCACTGACACACGCTGACACACGCTGACTCACGCTGACACATGCTGACACACGCTGACTCACGCTGACACACGCTGACACACGCTGACACACGCTGACGCTGACACGCTGACACACGCTGACGCTGACTCACGCTGACACTGACACACGCTGACACACGCTGACTCACGCTGACACACGCTGACACACGCTGACACACGCTGACACACGCTGACACACGCTGACACACGCTGACACACGCTGACACGCTGACACACGCTGACACATGCTGACTCACGCTGATGCACGCTGACACACACTCAGGTGAATAATCAGTGATCTTTCAAATTAATTACCTGTGGTTGAGTTAATTAAGGTTAGATGCTATAAGAGCTGACTCGTAAGATGTGTTAGGTTAGGTTAAGTGTGTAACATCTTGAAGTGTTTAGTAACTAGGAGCATAAACAAGACATAAATTCCCATCGGACTTATGACTCAGCCTGTTAACTTAATAGGGGTGTTAGCCAATTAAATATTGAAAAACCAACTGATGTTTTTACCTAATTTATATTTTCATGTAAGTCGATGAATAAAACATATACTGTAATACCCTTTTGGTTAACGTTGTCGAAATAAAAATCGGAAGAAATTGGGTAAAGTTCAAATATTGAAATATCCAATGTTTTAATCTGATACAATTGGCTGTAAACATAACGAGAAAAAGTGCATTCATAAGTAAACAAATACTGCAGACAAAAGATTTATTTACACGATTGTCAGCACACGTCTGTCAGCACACGTCTGTCAGCGAGCAATGCATCCCTGACATCATCTTACACTTCCTCATGAATAAACTTCGTGAATAACGTGAGTCTTTCCCATGTAGTAAAATCCGATTGGAAAATTTCTGCTCCTCAGTAAATTCCAGTTGCATATTGCAGAGTCGTCAAGACGTAAATTCCCCAGGGGAGGGAAGGGTGAGTGTCAGGCGCTGGTCGGGTTACAAACAGCTGTCGTGAACCACCTCAGGGGGCGGAGGAGGGGGGTACTGAATTTCGATAACACTAGGGGAGAGAAAGAGGATAATAAAGAAAGTAGAGAAAGTTATGAGGAAGATTAGTAAGTGAGAGAAAACAAAGGAGATATGTTGAGTAAGGGATAACGTGTGAATAAAAAGTGAGGTCACACACACACACACACACACACACACACACACACACACACATACATACACACACACACGCACAGACACAGACACACATATAAGGATAATTGCCAATTAGCGATAGGTTCTATGTATTTACCTTTTGGAAATTTCTAACTTGCCCAAATGATTAGTTTGATATCTAACCTAACCTAACCTAACCTAACCTAACCTAACCTAACCTAACCTACAAGGAGCCACAGGGAGACTTGTAGCCTGACCAGCCTCGCTCATCTTCCTCTTAATGTTATCATAAACAATGTCTAGTTCGTCTTTGAACTATCGCTAGACAGACATTGGTATACGAGGGCGATAAGGACACTTTTCTGCTGTCTTCCCTTGGGATGGTTGAGCTCTACGTGCGGCTGTTGATTAGCACTGTCTTCCCTGCACTGAGAGCATCCCCGAAGGACAGAGATATTCATGTAAAGAAAAAGACTTAAGTATTTGACTGGCGAAACTAACATCATTTCCTCTGTCTTGTTGCCAGTAGAGTGCTGACGTGGACGATGAGGGTGTGAGACAGGAGGTGTTGCTGTGTAATAATAATAATTAACGGTTTAATGAAAAAGTTCAGCAGCTCGAAGGCTGAATATATACGTCGGACAAAAATGACTTATTACATACATTGACATGGGGGGGTGGTAACAAAACCCTTCATTAGAGACAGGTGAAGGAACATACAGTGAACATACAAATTAATGATTACAGTGGAGGTCATGTAGATCACGTGCGCTGAAGTGTTGAACAGCAGACACGTGATGCAGTAATTCCCTCACAGATGGTGTTATGAGGGACCTTACATAGTGCTGTAGCAACTCATTCACTACGTGGTGTTGTAGCGACATAGGGATACCACGTGGTCTGGTGTCACAGGACCTAACTTTGTCAAGGTGTGTGTGTGTGTGTGTGTGTGTGTGTGTGTGTGTGGTCCTTACAAGTGAATAGACAACCCATAAACTATGACTCATGATTCAGGAAGCACCAAGGTAAGTCTCACTGCTCGTTACTGCAGAAGCACCACGATAAACCCAGGTATTTTGAGTGATTTAGCGACAACACAAATCCAGGACTAAGCCTGTAATGGATACCTGTAAAGTGAACACCTGTACGATTTCATGGAATACCTGTATGAACCTGTAAAAAAAAAATCTATTGTACTAAAAGTTTCATTTTTTAACCAAAAAGTTCTTGTTTGTTAGGTTTTAAAGTTTCAAACCGAAGAAGCTAATTTTCATCACTCATACAGCATTGGCCAAAAGTGAGTAACGCTTAGAGCTGTAAACGTTCATGTTTATCCATTATATATTATTTGAAACTATATATATATCTTCAATTACATATATTAATACAATCTCAATCACCTCTTCTAAAATTTCATCCAAAAACTGAATGAAAAATGAAAAAAACCACTTCAATGTTAACTAATCGTGTATGGTAAAGCGTCACTTATACAAACTCTATTTTAATAAAGGCGTTTAATATCATTATATATATGTATGGACTCGACCCAGTTACGCTAGGGATGTAAAATATACAATGTTATTCTCATCACTTGGGTATTTGGGACAATAAAAAAATATACTATACAGTTTTATGTTACACGCTAATTGTAGAGTAATGTTTTGACTGATAACATAGGTGTATATGAAGGTCCAATAGGGATAACTATTTTTATTTTTACATTTTGTTGGTTCAAGTTAATGAGTTGATGATTTTGTGTAAGGGAGAGTTTGTTTTGTCTTATTTAAGGCTTTGTTTATCGTCATGAGATAAACAAAGTATACGATTGCTCAGTCTGCGTCACTTACTGCTCAGTCTGCGTCACTTACTGCTCAGTCTGCGTCACTCACTGCTCAGTTTGCGTTACTCACTGCCCACTCTTCATGTTTTTAGGATACCGGAAAATTCACAAAAAAATTCTTCATCGCTACAAGAAGTTTTAAAAAAAGAGAAGAAAAAAATATTGACAAAAAACACAAAAAAATAAATCGAGTATATCCATCACATAGTATTAAAAAAAAAAAACTCCACTGTCCGCTATACTTTATTGTAGCTATAAAAAAAAGTTTATCACTTTAAAAAAATGGTGTAAAGTTTATTCACACTTACTACAATCAACAACGAATGCAGTATTGAAAACTTTAAGTGGAGTAAAATTCAGCCGTTGACATCTTATGTTTTGGTGTTGCTATAGTGACACGCTTATGCCCCGCCTCCCTTGCACTGCACTCCACCTTGTCGCTTTGTTCACTTAAGTAACACTCATAGTAAGGTTTTCTTAAGCTCTGAGCCAAAAATAATTGGAGTAATGATAATGGTATTGGTGATATTAGTAGTAGTGGTAGTAGTTGTTGTAGATGACGATAACAATGACAATAATAATGACGATGGTGATGATGATGGCAACAAAGATGACGATAATAATAATTAGTTTGTTTATACTAATACACAAATGCAGGTATAGATCTCAGTATACAGCACAGGTATACAATGCAAAGTCCCAATCAATACCCAAATTACCTTTGTTATGGCTTGTGCACGAGCTCAGAGGGCACCATAACACACCTTTGTTGTTCAGGTGTAATCCAACATGGTTTACCTGTACAAACTCACCTGGAGAGTACGTCATTACCTCAGAGTGATGTCAAGCTCTCAATGTAAATGTTGTTACGTAAAAGAGGGATAATTGCCTATTAGTGATGACTTAAATGATCATTAACGAGAGCATACTAATAAAAATTATACTCACCCATGACTAGCGTGGCTAAGACGAGGAAGAGATGAACCTTCATATTTTTATTTAATTTTTTTAATCCAGTGGAACCTGAGTCAATACGAATGGTTCTATCACACCGAGTTGGGTAACTTGACACAGAAAGAAATCCCAGAAAATCATTCAGTTTGAGATGATGTTCGGTTTTATGGATCACAGCGAAATTAAATAAAAAAAACACCACTACAATTAAAGAAGTTATTTAGAATCTTTTGTTGAATATCTTCTGGTGGTGTTATTGAATTAGACTTTTGTTTTTGTGTGTTTTTTCTGTCACATTATTGATTCTTAGTTCTTATCATTTGTTATAGATCAAGATTCTCAAGGTTGGAATTTGTTAAAATGGGGAAGTAATTTTGTTCTTCAATATAAATAATAACAGTTTTTTATCACTGAAGTTAACTGTTTATTTTACCACAGAATCACAGTTATTTTTTTACACATATGAAGTTAGTTTTTTGTTTATTAGATCAGCATTATATGTTTTTTTTTCCTTCGTTTCTCTGAACAAGGTTGTGTAGTTAGTACCAGGACTACGTAAGTGTTAACTCCGTATTAAGTTGTCGTGTTACTTCAGCCTTCAGATAACACCTTCCTGGGATGGGTTATAATCCTAATGGTATTAAGATAACCAGGTAACTCTTGTCCTTATCTTAAAGTCTTTTCTCTTGCTCTGGTTATCTTAAGTTCAAGATTACAATTTTCTATCCCAATTCAAGATCACTGAATACAGAGTTTTTTCCTCAATGTTTTTCGTTTCTGTGTTATGATTCCTGTCCCTCAGTGATTTATCATAATTGAAAAAAAAAAAACCTAAAAAATTTCAGTTCATTATTTATCTCTTCACTTCTTGGCTGATGTTAGAGTCTTACTCCTGGAGGTGAAGGATGCATCAGTGTGTAGGACAGACAGGAAACCGAGGCCCTTCTACAGACACACTCACACCTCTTCCTTCTTCAGGTGTCGCCCACAAAACACTGTCACCCACTAATCTGGAAAGACAAAATACCTTTGTTAAGATATCGACATTGTGAGATATTAATTCAATAGATGTTTACAAGTACAACACACACACACACACACACACACACACACACACACAAATATAACAAATATGTCACTCTCTACCGTGCTTTATACTCATCTGAAAAATTTATATAATATTTCTGGACCTACTTTTAGCTAAAGACTTTCTCCACCATTTTTGCACTGCCCAATTTACAATGTAAATATGTGCCTTACCCCGTGTTGAATTACCTGACGCACGGAGGCCTTGCATTGACCCTTGAGTACGAGGACGAGATCCCTTGAGTACGATGGCTTAACCCCTCGAGTACAATATTTTCTTCCTTCCCGTGGCACATGTAAATTTTTTTTTATACCCGAGTACAATGACTTTATCCTTTGAGTACAATGAATGAACGCCTTGATTACGAGAACTTGACCACTTGAGCATGACGACTTTAACCCCTTGAGTACAATATCTTAACCCCCTGAGTAGTACTGATGACAACGTTATGAGAAGTGTGTGAGTGTATGAGCAGCATGTATGAGTGTATGATCAGCATGTATGAGTGTATGAGCAGCATGTATGAGTGTATGAGCAGCATGTATGAGTGTATGATCAGCATGTATGAGTGTATGATCAGCATGTATGAGTGTATGAGCAGCATGTATGAGTGTATGATCAGCATGTATGAGTGTATGAGCAGCATGTATGAGTGTATGAGCAGCATGTATGATCACTACGTAACTCAACACATAAGTAAACAACAAACACATTTATGGGCAAATGATGTGATGGAATGTGAAGATTATTTCCAGAGGTCAGGAAGTGTGTGTGTGTGTGTGTGTGTGTGTGTGTGTGTACATCAATATAGCTCTGGGACTACAGTATAAGAAGGTGTTTACACATACATAATATATATACCTGTACCAGTTACCTGAGTTATACGTCATTAAGGTGTGTGTGTGTGTGTGTGTGTGTGTGTGTGTGTGTGAGGGAGAGCTTGGGGCGTTTAGTTTCAGCTCTCAGGGCTTAGAGGTTGACCTTCACTTTAGAGATCTCTTGAGTGTGACACTGAAGGGCTCGAGAAATATTACTACTCTCTTAAGATTGACAATAGATCTTATCTTGAGAACTAAAGGGAAAAATAAATCTCTCTTAGTGTTCCTTTGGGTAAAGCGACCTCACCTAACCTAACCTCTATATAACGGACCCTCGATATAACGGTCCCTCTAAATAGTGGACCCTTATATACCCGACCCTCGATATAACGGACCTTCTATATAATAGACCCTCTATATAACGGACCCTCTATATAACGAACCCTGTATATAACAGACCCTGTATATAACGGACCCTCTATATAACGGACCCTCTAAATAACGGACCCTCTATAATGGACCCTCTAAATAACGGATTATACAAATAACGGACCCTCTAAATAACGGATTATACAAATAACGGACCCTCCATATAACGGATTATATAAATAACGGACCCTACATATAACGGACTCTTTATATACCGGACCCTCTGTATAACTGACTTTCCTCTCCATATAGTCGTTAAATAGAGGTTTCACTGGACAACACACACACACACACACACACACACACACACACACACAGGGGTAAATATTCAGCGTGGGATGACACAATTAGTAGAGTGTCACTGGAATGTGTTATCGGTCCGTTAATTTCCTGTGTGTATATAAATGATCTCCCACGAATTGTACAGTTACTTACTCATACACGCACGAGAGAGAGAGAGAGAGAGAGAGAGAGAGAGATCTATTACATGTTCAGGGATATAATTGCTTAACTTCCCTGTAGAGGATTGTAAGATAATTCATAGCAGACGATTATAATATCTACGGAGTATACCGGATTTTACACTTCACACAACACACACACACACACACACACACACACACACACACACAGGGGTAAATATTCAGCGTGGGATGACACAATTAGTAGAGTGTCACTGGAATGTGTTATCGGTCCGTTAATTTCCTGTGTGTATATAAATGATCTCCCACGAATTGTACAGTTACTTACTCATACACGCACGAGAGAGAGAGAGAGAGAGAGAGAGAGAGAGATCTATTACATGTTCAGGGATATAATTGCTTAACTTCCCTGTAGAGGATTGTAAGATAATTCATAGCAGACGATTATAATTCTACGAGTATAATTTTACACTTATATAATGTTATAAAAAATATAGGATTATATATAACTTAGGGGAGAATTTTCATTAATAATTACGATTAAAAATTATGAGTTGAAAAGTATAAATAAAAAAAAATATTGCTGTCTGTCTTATGTTTTGTGTTTGTTTGTTTTAAAGAACATTTATATTGTATTAGGTAAACACTCCAACATTCTTACATAGTTTGTTAGTTTGTTTTTTAAATTAGTTAGAATATTACCTTCATTCATAAATTACAATACCTTGACATTTTAAGAAAGTTTTCCCTAAATATATAAAAAAACAAAAACAAATTAGTTACCAAAATGACAATAATCTTGTTTTATCTCACCTGGACGAAGATATATAATTAATGCTTAAGAAACTATTCATTGGTTTGAGGATACAGCGATACAGCGATACAGCGATACAGAGATACAGCGATACAGCGATACAGCGATACAGCGATACAGCGATACAGCCAACAGGTGAGAGTCTGTACCACCTTGTCTATGCTCCAGGTGTGTATGTATGTCTGTCAGTACCTTCCCTAGAAACTCACATTTTTGTCTATTTTGAAATTTTGTCCGAGGTGAAAGTCGCACAGAAGGGAAGACTCGTCAAGTTTTTAAATTTTATTAAGTTATGAGCACTGGAGAGGGAGGAGGAGGAGGAGGCGAGGTAGACTAAGAATAAGGTGGATAAATACAGTGGAAAAGAGATCTTGGAAGACTGGAGGAGAGGAGAAGAGGAGGATGAGGAGGGGAATGAGAGAAGGAGGGGAGGAGAGAAGGAGGATGGGAGGTGGTGAAGGAGGAGTAGAAGGAGTAGGAGAAGAAGAAGGGGGAGAAGAAGAAGGAGGAAAAGGAGGAGGAGGACGATAGCTAAGGATGGATGACACGGGAAAAGGAGAGTTAGAGATAAAGGAGAATTATGAAACAGACAGAGAAAAGTGGAAAACAGAGACACAACAACTAAACAGAAACGACAATAATAATAAAAAACAAAGACAAAGTTTTCAGGTATTATATAATCAATTCCTAACTAAAAGAAAGTCTATATATTTTTTTTTTTCATAATAATCAAAAGTTTTTAAAGAGTGGATAAATGAGGTATTCCACCATTGAATTTACAGTGTGTTTAGCACAAAGTTACCAAACTCAATCATCTTCAAACTTTATTTTTTTTTTATTTTTTTATTTTTTTGCTGATCACTTTTTTTTTACTTTCTGAGGATGATCCCATAAGCTTTCGGGATATGTCGAAATCGGCCAGAGGTCAGGGTGGGTCTGAGGTCAGATAGGGTCCTTAGGTTAAAGACCACTCAGCCGAATTTGATCTAGTCTATTAAAGTGGGAAATCCTTCTGCATGAATTACTCTCAAGTTTCATCTAGCCACCTCCTTCGGCCACTACCCCATCAGGAATCTTTTTCTTCATTTTACCTTATGTATTAAGTCACGCAGAACCAATTTAAAAGAGTCCAAATTATACTTTTTTCACATTAGGAAATTTTAACTTCTTTCTCGTCTTAAATAATCACTGTTTTGTCAATTTGCATTCTTGACTTTACTGTTTTATCGTGAGTAACAAGGAGGATAATACCTCTAACGGTAACAGAAACAGTAAACAGTAATAATAACACGTATATCAACAAAACTACCACACTCCTCGTTACCATAACTCAGGAACCACTGTGGCCACCTCTTAGTGCTTGGTGGTGGTGGTGGTGGTGGTGGTGGTGGTGGTGGGTCACTCTATCAAATATTTACACCCTGAGTTCATCATCTCGTCCACTGAATAACTACAGGTGAAAAGAATTGAGATAAGAGATTAGTCTTAGGTGAAGGTTCTATCGCTAAAGTGTGTGTGTGTGTGAGGCATTGATCGTGAGGTTGCGTGTGTCTGGTAGCTAACAATGTCTTATTGTGTTTGTGAGGCATGAAGCATTGATCGTAGAATTGCGTGCGTACTGTCCAGCAATGTCTAACAGTTGCGTGTGTGTTTGTGAGACATTGAGGCATTGATCGTGTAGAGTTGCGTGTATAGTATACCTCACAATGTCTCACCAGTATGTGTGTTTGTGAAGCATTGATCGTAGAATTGCGTGCGCCTTGTAGCCAACAATAAAAGTGGCCCAGGCTCTCGGCTTTGTGATCTTGTGAATGCTGCCTCGCGTGTGTGTACCCCGTATTAATATCTTTATACTAACATAATTCTCCTCCATGTTCGCTCAAGCGCTGCGGTGGCTGGTATTCAAGTGTTTGGTACCTGTATGTTTATCATCTTAGAAATGTATATAATGTTTCCCTGAAGTAAACTAAGCATTCTGTGTTTGATGAGAGACAGCTCGCGACTTATCTTGTTACTGAGTTAATATTTGTGTTTGGAAGGTAATATAAAACTATTAAGGATATATTGATGGGGATTTAGTGTAATATAATGGTTCTCTGATAATAGTAGATGGAATTGAAGATTTAATATTTACCATATTTCTAGTTTATGATATTGGAAAAAATCATTAACTATCCTCCTGAGTTTATTATTTTATCTGATTCTATATAAAAATGTCTCTCCATAATTTTATCATCTGAACTCTCCTCCCCCAATACTACGATTGTCCCCAAAAATTTTACCGAGATTATTTTCAAAAGTAACTAAATGACTCAGTGAAATAATGGCGTATAACATGGATATATTACTGAATAAATAGGAAAAATAAATAAATTCCCAAGAGATGAAATAATTACGCAGAAAGAAATTAAGAAACGGAAGATGTTATATATAGAAGAAA